TTTATTTTATTTTAATTTGACCAGTGAGGGGGAGAGAGAGAGAGAAAGTGAAAAAGCAAGCTGCCAGGGGTGGGACTCAAACCGCAGTCAGCCATGTGGGAGTCCAGCACCCTTAACCACCACGCCACCTGCTGGCCCCAGGAAATACAAAGTTTTTGCTCAAGATTGTCTGAATGTTTCTGCCACTACCCCAACTTCAAAGTGGCAGTCTTCAGGGCCAGTAGGTGGTACAGTGGTTAAGGCACTAGACTCCCACGTGGCCAACTATGGTTCAAATTCTGGACCCAGCGGCTTGAAACTCATGCCATGTATGTGTGTATGTGTGCCCAAAATCCTGAGAGGAGAATAGAAGAGAAGATTGTGCCAAGATGATTTCTCGCTTTCTCTATCTCTGTCTCTCTGTCTCTCCAGAGAGCACATGTATCCTATAGCAAAAATCTCTCTCTCAAAAAAAAAAAAAGTGGTGATCTCCATTCCCTTGGGAATGGAAGGAGAGAACAAAATTCTGAAACTTTTCAAATTTCGAGTACATCTGTGCTGACTTGACTTCTCAGCAGATCACAGGGTGTGACTATTGGTCCGGCTGAAGGTGTGCAGTCTCTGTGGGTCTTACTGTTTACTCGTGTTCCTGGCCAGTGGAGCAGAGTGGAATTTGGCCATGACAGAAACTCCGGTTTGGAATATCTTTGCTGCTTATCTGCTCAGCCATTATTAGCACATTTCGCTTTCTGGCTGGCTGCAACGTGAACTTTGCTCCTTACCTGAAGAAATCTATCCAAATGAAATCTTACCCAGACCCCTAAACACCCACCTCCCCAACACACACACACAAATACCGTAAAACTCATGAGCCTCCTGCCTCAGTCTCCTGAGCAGCTGGGATAATTAATTCAAAAAATAAAATAATAAATAAATAAACAAATAAATAAAAAGGTTAAGAGTGGGGCAGCTTTTTTAAAAAAGAATTATTTTATTTAACTTCACTTATTATCATCATCATTATTATAACTTGATCAGAGAAAGACAGACAGAGAGGGAAAGTGAGAAAGCAAGCTGCCAGGACTGGGACTCAAACCGTAGTCAGCCATGTGGGAGTGGAGGGTCCAGTGTCCTTACCACCTGCCAGCCCCAAGGCTGCTTTGATTTCTAAAACTTGGTTGTCATCTGGGTGCAGTTTGGCTCCAGGGCCACTTGGCTATGACTGGAGAGACATTTGTTCTGACACGAGGAAGGGGGATGCTACTGGCACCTAGTGGGCAGAGAACAGGGATGCAGCTAAACGTCCTACAAGGCAAAGGACAAAGACAAAGAATGACCCAGCCCCAGGTGGCAAGGGATACTTCAGGCTGGCCCTGCAGACCAGCCATTTCCATATTGAGGCTGTGGAGCCCTGAGAAGTCCTGACTATGTAGTTGGCACAGGAGGAGTAAGCAAACCAAGCCACTCAGTCAGCAGGGTGACTCCTCAGTCCATGGATCCGACACTACTTTCCTTCTTTCTTTCTTTTCTTTTCTTTTTTAAAAGAATTATTTTATTTAACTTTATTTATTTATTTATTTTAATTTGAATGGAGAGGTACAGAGTGACAGAGAAGGGAGAGTGAAAAAGCAAGCTGCCAGGTCTGGGACTTGAGCCACAGTCAACCATGTGAGAGTCCAGCACCCTTAACCACCACGCTACCTGCCAGTCCCCCAACAATATTACTTTCACACTCAGACCCTCTGGGGAGGGAAGTGGGGAGGTGTGGGCCTGCAAGTTGCTGGCGACATTTCACGTCAGGCAAGTGGAGCAAGATGGGGAAGTCTTGGAAAGGTCAAGGCCCCCAACTCACTTGTGTTTCAGTCCTTATGTGATTCAGTCAGCCACTAAGGAGGCTCTGTTTGTCTGTGTGTACTAAGTTTCAGTTGTATTTCAGTCATTACAAAACAAAAATGGTTTGGTTAATGTATCAATGAAAACTTGCTTTTAGGAGTGGTCTACTAAACCAATTCACTTAGCAAATTTATCACCAATAAAAGCCTTATGTTTCTTTGCCAGCTGGATTAAATATATATTGGGTCATTGGAAAAGTCATGACACATTTTTGCATAGAAACGCATAGAAAAATATGACATGACTTTTCCAACGACCCTATATAACTATAGATATAGATTTTTTTTTTTTAAGAGATAGGGACTCACTATGTTGCCTAGGCTGGCCTTGAACTTATGATCTTCCTGCCTCAATGTCCTAAGCAGCTGGGATTACAGATTCTCTTACCCCTCCTGCCCCAGCGACATAGTCAGAACTTCTCGGGGCTGTACAGCCTCGATATGGAGACAGGCGGTCTGTAGGGCCAGCCTGAAGTACCCTTTGCCACTTGGGGCTGGATCATTCTCTGTTGTGGGGGCTGTCTTGTGTGTTGTAGGATGTTTACCTCCATCTGGTCTCGGCCCACTGGATACTAGTACCATACCTAGCTCAGGATTCAGAGAGAGAGAGAAGTGAGAAGTCTCCCCCGGGTTGGACGTCCACAGCACACCACCATCCCTTCCCCTCCATTCTCCTCACATGCACACACAAGCCCTGCATGGTTCTGGGTCTAAGACCCAAACTGCATGACTGACCATGATGTATCCACCTGCTTTGACCACCATGCCACAGGCTGGCCCTAGGAAATGATAAAAATCAAAGAAAGAGAAAGATGGGGGCTTTGGGAGGTGGCTGGGATGGAGGTCATGGAGGCAGCTGAGGAGAGACGCAGACACAAGCACTTGGCTTGGGAACCAGCAGTTAGCGTAATGGCTGTGTTGCTGGACTTCCACATAGTCGACCGCGGTTCGCCAGGCGCGTGTGCATGCATGCCCAAGATCACAAGAGGAGAATGGATGAGTATCTCTGTCTCTCTGTCTCTGTCTGTCTGGCAAGCGCATGCGCCCTATAGCGAAAACCTCTCCAAAAAAAAAAAAAGCACTTGGCTTGGTCCTGCCGTGTGATGCCCTGTGCCTCTGGTTTCTACATGGAGTCTCCACCAACAAGAAGACTCTCAACAGATGGAACCCCTTGACCTTGGGCCTCCAACTTCATGAGCTGAATAAGAGCTGGGGCTTTCCACTCAGGAAGGCACACCCTTACCAGGTCGATGTCATTTGCTTCCACATGCTGGAGGAGGACGCCAGCCACATGCTCTATGTCCCACTGCACTCCAGGGTCATCCGGGAAATCCCTGCAAGGGAGAACAGCTTGATCAGGCAAGATCTTCTCCCTAAGCCCCAGTAGGCATGTGCTCAGTTGTGTGATATGGATTGTTTCTGGGGTAGGAGGTCCCAGTCCTTAGGTATTAAGCTTTCGGTTAGCGACGAGGTTTACGAACATGAAGCAACTCTACATCACACACTTGTGGAGCTGTGTGCTTGCTGCTGAGCGGAAGAGACACGTCCCATGAGACAAATCTCTGTCCACAAGTTGGAGAGATGTGTTAACAATGAATTTGAACATGGGGCAGAATGATATGCAGTTTTTAACAGAATGATTATATTTAATTTTATCTTAATTTGACCAGAGAGAGACTGAGGGAGAGAGAGAGAGAAGGAGAGGGAAAGTGAGAAAGCAAACCACCAGATCCAGAACTTGAACCATGGTCAGCCATGTGGGAGTCCAGCGCCACTAACCTTCATGCCACCTGCCAGCCCCAATGATATGCATTTTATAGGAATAATAGTAATAGTGTGTCAATAAAAAGTACAAAGGTGTATTACTTTGTTTAAGCTAATAAATATCTTTTTTCCCCTGAAAGAATGATTTATTTATTTATTTACTCATTTATTTTCATTTGATCAGACACTCACACACACACACACACACAAACACACAAGGAAAGTAAGAAAGCAAGCTGTTAGATCCAGGACTTGAACCATGGTCAGTCATGTGGGAGTCCAGTGCCTTAATCACCACACCACCTACTGGCCCCTTGAAGGAGCCTTTAAATATGAAGTTAAGGGACCAGCAGTTGGTGTAATGGCTGTCGCTGGACTCCCATGTAGTTGACCGTGGTTCAAGTCTTGGACCCGGTTGGGCACATGTGCATGTGTGCCCAAAATCCCAAGAGGAGAATGGAGGAGAAGGGATTGTGATGTGGCCACTCTCCACTTGGGGGGTGATTTATTGCTTTCTGTCTCTCTGTCTCTCTGGTAAGCACACACACTCTATAGCAAAAAACTCTCCCCCCCTCAAAAAAAAAGATATTAAGTAGCTTCTTTGCAAGATTGTTAGACTTGGATTTAATTATTATTATTATTATTGTTTTTTTTTTTTTTTTGGTGAGGTTTTTGCTATAGGGTGTGCGCGCTTGCCAAAAAGACAGACAGAGACAGAGACAGAAAGCAAGAAATCACCCCCCGGGGGGATGGCCACGCCGTAATCCCCTCTCCTCCATTCTCCTCTTGGGATCTTGGGCACGCATGCACACATACCCGGCGTGAGTTTAAGCCACTGGGTCCAGGACTCGAACTGCACTTAACTACATGGGAGACCAGTGACATAGCCATTACGCCAACTGCTGGTCCCCTTAATTTATTTTTAATTCAAAAATTTTATTAACATGTAATTTTTGTACTTATGTGGAGTATAATATGATTTGTTAGTACAAGAATATATTGTACTGGGGCCAGCAGGTGGAGTGGTGGTTAAGGGCACTGGATCCCCACATGGCCGACTACGGTTCAAGTCCCTGACCTGGAGACTCAGTTTCTCACTTTTCTCTCTCTCTCTCCCACTCTGTCCCTTTCTGGTCAAATTAAAATAAACGAATAAATAAAACAAAATTCAATAAAATAATTCTTAAAAAGAATATATTGTATAGTGATCAAACCAGGGTAACTAACATACCCAGCATCTCAGCCATCTGTCATTACTCCACCTTACAAACATTCAAAATTCCCTTTTTAGGTATTCTGAGAAATACAGTAAATTATGAACTGCATTTGCCCTACTGTATTTGACAACATTACAAATTGCTTCTCTTATCTATCGGTAACTTTGTTTCCACCAATCACTATCCTCTTACCGCTCCACTCCTTCCGACCTTCCCACCCTTTAGCGGTCCTTTGCTGACTCTCTATTTCTAAGAGGTCATTTTCTTCAATTTCCACAGTCAGTGAGAACATGTGGTACTTCTCTTTCTGTGCACGAGTTATTTCACTTAGCATAATGTCTTCTAGGCTTGGCCATTTCACTGTAAACGACAAGATTTCATTCCTTTCAAGGGCTGAGTCGTAGTCCAGTGTGTGCGTGTGACCTTTTCTTCGTCCATTCGTCTGTTAATGAATGCGTAGGCTGATTCCGCGCCTTGGCGATCGGAAATAATGCCACAGTAAACGTTGGGGTGCAGAGTCCTTGCACATACTGCTTTCCTTTCTTTTGACTATATGCCTGGTAGCAGGGCTGCTGGGTCACTTGGCAGTTTAGTTTTCTGAGGAACCTCCATACTATCTTCCGTAATGGCTGTACTAATTTACATTCCCACGTACGGTGTAAGTTTTCCTTTCTCTGAATCTTTGCCAGCCTTATTTTCTTTCTCTGTCTTTTTAGTTTTTTGCCATAGGGCATGTGTGTTTGTTGGAGAGAGACAGAAAGAGACAATGAAAGAAAAAATGAGAAACCACTGCCCCCCCGGGGTGGGTGGGCCTGCTATAGTCCCTTCTCCTCCATTCCCCTCTCAGGATTTCGGGAATGTAAGCACATGTGTCCAGAGTGATTTTCAAGCTGCCAGGCCAGAGACTTCAACCACATTCCGCCACGTGGGAGTCCAGTGCCATGACCACCACACTGCTTGCTGGCCCACAGTATTTGTTATTTTTGTTTTTTCTAATAATGGCCCTCTTTGGACCAGCAGATGGCATAATGATTATGTTGTTGGACTCCCACATAGTCGACTGCAGTTTGAGTCCCAGACAGAGTAAGAGAGAGAGAGAAAGTGAGAAAGCAAGTCACCAGGTCCAGGACTCGGACCGCAGTCAGCCTTGTGGGGGCCCAGCACTCTTAACCACCACGCCACCTGCCAGCCCACAAAGATAGCAGCTTAAAACTCAAACCAGGCATGTGTGTGCGTGTACCCAAAACCCTAAGAGGAGAATAAAGGAAAAGGGACTGCAGTGTGGTCATCCCTTTTGGGGGGTGATTTCTCACTTTCTGTCTCTCTGGCGAGCATATGCACCCTATAGCAAAAATCTCTCAAAAACAAACAAAAAAAGAAATAATAATAATAATAAAGAGTTTGGGCCAGTGGTGAAGTTTAAGGCATAGTCTCTTAGATTGCCCTCATTTCTGACACCAAGGGCAAGTTCAGAGGTTTTCTAAACGACCCTCAGGTTTGACAGTTTGCTAGGACTCACAGTCGTCCTGAAAGCTGTTACATATATGAGTACAGTCCGTACAGGGAAAGAACACAGACTACAATCAGCTAAAGAAAGAGATGCAGAGGGCAGAGTCTGGAGGCTTCCAAATGTGGAAGCTGCACTGCCCTCTCCCTGTGGAGTCGGGACACATGACTCCTGTCACTCTCTGAGCATCAATGTGTGACAGAGTGCATGGAGTCTTGGCAACCAGGGAAGTTTTTCTGAGCTTTGGTGTTCACAGTTTTTCTGTTTGCTTATTTTTTTAGAGGTTTTTGTCTTAGGGTGTGTGTACTCACTGGAGAGAGAGGCAGAGACAGAGACAGTGAGAGAGAAAGTGAGAAATCACTCTTGGGAGGGGGGGATGGCCATGCCACATCCCTTCTCCTCTATTTTCTCAGGATTTTGGGTGTGTGCAAACACAAGAGTCCAGTGTGATTTGCAGGCCATTGGGTCCAGGACTCGAACCTTGGGTGGCTGTGTGAAAGTCTAGCGATGTAACCACTTCACCATCTGCCGCCCCCTGGTGTTCAGAGTTTTTATTTGGGCTCATTCTGTAGACATGACTGACTGCCTGTGTCCGATGTTAGCCTCCAGGTGGACTGATACTGTGCAGCTCAAAACCCCACCGACACAAAGACACTGCTCTCAGGTATGACCGAGATCACTTCCCAGAAGCCAAGAGCAGAGGCAAGATCTCTTTCGGGGCAAGGCTAAATTCTTCTATTTTTTTTTTTTTTTTTTAGATTTTGCTTATGGTTGTATGTGCTAGCCAGAGACACAGAGAGAGGGGGAGGGAAAGTGATAAATCACCTCCCAGGGGGAATGGTCACACTGCAAGCCCTACTCCTCCATTCTCCTTTCAGGGTTTTGGGCATGCGTGCACATACACCTGGCATGATTTTTCAAGCGCTGGGTCCAGGATTCAAACTGTACAGCTGGCCATGTAGGACCTAGTGCATTAACCTCTATGTCACTGCTGGCCCCAAATTCTTTACTACATGCCTTCCTTGTGTTTGGGAACCTTCACTGAATTCCTCTATCAACTATGGCCTGGATCACCCCACTTTGCACCTAATTAGATGTAGTATTCCATTATTTTTTGCCTTTTTTTTTTCTCCTTTATATTTGTGCCACAGGGTGTGTGCACTTGCTGGAGAGAGAGAGAAAAACAGACAAAGTGAAAAACACTCCCCAGGGGGATGGCCAAGCCCTGATCCTTTCTCCTCTTGGAATTTGAGCATGCACTCACATGCGCCTGGCGAGTCTTTTAACCACTGGTCCAGGACTCGAACTGAGGAGTTGGCCATGTGGGATCCAGCACTTTAACCGCCCATGCCACCTGCTCGCCCATTTTCTGCTGTTTTATATGTGTCTTCTTACCTAAGGTCAAATATGAGAAGGGACTTAAGTCTCACTCTTTTTCCATGTGGTACTTGGTATAACTCAAGTCCAAGTTATTTAAATAAATGAGTACTTGTGCTTCAACCATGTGCAAGACACTGTGTTAGGGGGTTTAATAAGTACTAGCTGGCTGACAGAAGTAGCCTCTAGTTGGCTACTCTAGTAGCCTCTTCCATTCTCCTCTTGGGATTTTGGATACCCACACACATTTCAAGCTGCCAGGTCTGGGACATGAACTGTGCGATTGGTCACGTGGGAGTCCTGCACCTTACCACTATGACATCTGCTGGCTCCAAAGATAACAATTATTTTTATTTTTCTAAAGAATTATTTTATTTAACTTCATTTATTTATTTTAATTTGACCAGAGAGGGACAGAGTAAGAAAGAGAGGGAAAGTGAGAAAGCAAGCCACGAGGTCTAGGACTCCA